ATCCTTAGATATAAAAGTTGAACATTTTATAAATTTTTAATTACAAAATAATTATTCAGTTTTAAATTTGATCTTTAAATACTTATAAAAAAAAATTGTGCCAATGTATTTTTCATATTTTTCTACTGATATTGGAACAATATATCAGGAGCCTTGTATTAAATTTTACACTTTTTGGCCCAACAGATAAAACTTTATTGATATTTATAGAAAAAAAAACTAAAAAAAATTTAAAGCTGTAAATGTCCGTTAACAGCTCAAAAAGAATCAAAATATTTTCAAAATTGTATGGTGTATAGGAAATGCTAATATAAACAATCAGTGAAATTTTCATGTATCTACAGTTATTCGTTTTTGAATTACAACAAAATAAGGAAATCGCTACATGAGAAATCGAGTGAAAATCCAATGTTGAAAAAATTTGAATTTCAAACCCTCATCAAAATTTTATTTGACTTTCTTATAGACTTTTTTTTTTTGATATAGGTAGATAGTTTTTTAAGGAATCTTGTATTACATTTTAAAACCTTAGATTTAAAAAAAAATTTTTTACAAATTCTTAACTCAAAATAATTTGCTAATTTCCGCGATTTTTAAATATTTTGTCAATTTTTGAACTTTAAATGCTTATAAAAAAAAACTGTAACTAAGGATTTTTAATATTTTTCAAATGCCATTGTAAAAATATAGTAGGAGCCTTGTATTACATTTTCAAGCTTTTTTAACCAACAAATAAAATTTTATTGATTTTTTTAGAAAAAAAACTAAAAAAAGGTGGGCAAGTGGGTGTCGCTCTGCTGTACTGTAGGTTACAAGTGGGTCACTGTATAATGGATGGTATTAAATTTGAATTCAATGATATAATATCATTGTATAAGTAAAACGATTCTGAGCGGTGACGGTATGTCAGTCTATGTATAAGACATATTATATACATATCTATGGTATTAAACAAAAAAATGACCTATAATAAATTCCAAATTAATCATATCACAATATCCATTAGATACTTATAACAGTTATAACGCGTTATACATCAACAAAAACCGTGATACTGTCATAGATATATAATAGTACACTTTAGAAGTTTCAAGTACCCACGAATAATATTATTCAATCACAACAAAATAACTAAAATCGTAATTCTTGGTTTAAATATGAAATTTTGTCTAAATTTGAAATTAAAATGTCTGTAAAAAATAAGTGTGTTTATATATTTTTTAGATTTTTTGGTTACAGTATGAATTATTTAAGAGAATATTTGTTTTAAATTTTCAACTCTTAGTTATAAAAACTGAACATTTTATAATTTTTTAATTCCAACGATTGATAATTTTTGAGATTTTGATAAATTTTGTCAAAATTCCAACTTTAAATGCTTATAAAAAAAAATCGTGCCTATGTATTTTTAATATTTTTCAACTGATATTGTAACAATATATCAGGAGCCTTGTATTAAATTTTTACACTTTTTGGCCCAACAGATAAAACTTTATTGATATTTATAGAAAAAAAAACTAAAAAAAATTGAAAGCTGTAAATGTCCATAAACAGCTCAAAAAGAGTCAAAATATTTTCAAAATTGTATGGTGTATATGAAATGCTAATATAAACATTCAGTGAAATTTTCATGTATCTACAGTTATTTGTTTTTGAATTACAACAAAATAAGGAAATCGCTACATGAGAAATCGAGTGAAAATCCAATGTTGTAAAAATTTGAATTTCAAACGCTCATAAAAATTTAATTTGACTGTCCGGTAGAGATTTTTTTATTGATAAAGGTAGATAATCTTATAAGGAATCTTGTGTTTCATTTTCAAATCTTAGATTTAAAAAGAAACATTTTTACGAATTCTTAACTCAAAATAATTTGCTAATTTTCGTGATTTTTCCATATTTTGTCAATTTTTGAACTTTAAATGCTTATAAAAAAAAATTGTGACTAAGGATTTTTAATATTTTTCATCTGCCTTTGAAATAACATATTAGGAGCCTTCTATTAAATTTTCAAGCTTTCGCAACCAACAAATAAAATTTGATTGATATTTCTAGAAAAAAAACTAAAAAAAAATGAAAAATGAAAATGTCCCTAAACAGTTCAAAATAAATCAAAATATTTTGAAAATGTTATCGTGTATAGAAAATGCAAATATAAACAACCAGTGAAAATTTCATGTATCTACGGTCATTTGTTTTAAAGTTACACCAAAAACCAAATTCGATTTTTTGGAAAATCGATTTTGCGTAAAAATTCCCGTTTTTCCTTAATTTTTATGTTGTTTTTCCCGGCGCTTGTGAAAACTACTGGAAAATATTTACTTTTGACCCCCCAAAGTACCAACTAGATTCACTTTCCTATCAGAAAAGGTACTATTGAAGAAAATCGAAGCACTTTTACTGTCCCAAAACGTGATGACAGACACAAAAAAAAATATAAAAATATAAAAACATACATCATTGTAAAACCAATACATTCATCGCTCCGCTCAGAATCTAAAAAATTTAAAATGAAATGTGCCTAAACAGTTCAAAATAAATCAAAACATTTTGAAAATGTTAAAATGTTATCGTGTATAGAAATTGCTAATACAAACATTCAGTCAAAATGTCATGTACCTACGGTCATTTGTTTAAGAGTTTCACCAAAAACCAAAATCGATTTTTTCGAAAACAGATTTTAGTGTAAAAATTCCAGTTTTTCCTTAATTTTTCTTTTGTTTTCACGCCGCTTTTGATAACTACTGGACCCCCCAAAGTACCAATTAGATTCACTTTACTATCAGAAAAGCTACTGTTGAAGAAAATCCAAGCACTTTTACTGTCCTAAAACGTGATGACAGTCACAAAAAAAAAATTTAAATTTAAAAATTTAAAAAAAACACACATCATTGTAAAATCTATATATTCATCGTTTCACTCACAATCTAAAATGATAATTTTCAACACAAATTGTAATTTGGAGGTAAAAAAAATAGTCAATAGAGTAAATAATTATCTCATTATCTTTTTTTATTTAAAAAAAAATACCGTTTTTATTATCTAGATAAGATAGTAGATAAATCATTTAAAAATTATCTTGGTGAGATAAAATATACGAAAACGTATAATTATAATTATGCCTAACACTGCAAACGTATTGCTTTTCATTATGTGTGTATTTTAATTCTTGTGTCTGCAGACGCTTATTATAAAGAAAAAATGCTCCGATTATCCTCTTCGGGGTACGTTTTTGGTAGTAAATTCGATCTATTTCGTTACTTTGGTGGGTCAGAAGAAGTATTTTTTCAGGGTTTTTTTTAATGATCGTGAAGTACAAAAAAATAAATAGATAACAATTAATATTCAATACGAACATTTATAATTGTTTGTCACCATTACCATTATATTATTATAATAATTTAATTTATATAAGTTAAAATTTGGATAAATATAAATATATAACTACATTATTTTTTATTATTTAAAGTAATAATAACGTGCTCAAATTATTAAATTATATTATTTTAAAAAAGGTATAGTTTTAATATCACCATTGATTAAATTTTAATGAGATTAATATCATTGAATCACTTTTAGATATTATGTAACTTTAATCAATTATTGTGATATTATTTCTTAACAGTAAGTAATATTATAAAGTTAAATATACGCCAATGCAGCCAATATTATAATGTTGAAACAGGACTAGGTATAAATAATATATATATATTTTTTTTTTCATTGATGAGGGGTGACACGGTGATGAGGGGTGACACGACCAAGTATTGGGCTTATACTATTGGCCCCAAGACCTCTGGAAATCTTAATTTGGGCCTGAATAAAGCTTTGATGATTGGAGTAGTAGTAGAAGTAGTGGAACAAAATTTCTCTTGGGTATCTCTATAGATGTGGTTCTTAACCTTTTTAGTTTTTTTTATGACGGAACACTTAATATTTTATAAGATTTTCATGGAACACAGCCGTAAAATCAAATCGTAGGTATAATATATTAAACAATGCACGTATAGCCCAAAACACTTAACATACAATATATTAGTCACTTAAAAATAATAAAATAAATAAAAACAATTAAAACAAATTTCACAATGTTCACAATTTTATAATTTTATACCGATTTTAAAATTTTGGCGGAAGACTATAGTCTGTGTCACTCCACTCCACACGTCCACGCTTCAAATACTTATGACAAGAGTTGTGTACCTATGCTTTTTCATATATTTTTTTAATGTTTGTAATTCAATAGGAGAAAGAGCCATGTCAACGGGTTGCTCAGTAGAGAATGCATAGAAAACAATGGTCTCTACAAATTAATATTTTAAGGATAACGGCGTATTTGAGGAATGTTGCTTTTTTAAATATACTTCGTAGAAAAGTAATTCATACTTAATATGTATATAAAATAAAATTTACAATAAAATCTTTCAATATTAAAGTTCACGATTTATAAATTTTATAGTTTGAGAGACTTTTTTTGAATGGTTAGGCAATAATATATATTTAAATATTTTAACTTGCTGTTTTGTTTATATTTTTTTTCTAAATGTTGATAATTTTTGAAATAATGAGTATAAAAAAACACATCTGTTAGTTTGGGTGAAAACATTATTTGATATATTTCGGTTATTCACTGCTCTATACTGGTTAAAACCGAAAAATAATTTATGATTGTTGTACATCTGTACTCCGTAGGTATAAGCGGAAGCGCTATTTGTACCCCGACGACAATAATTAATTATTACACGCTGAATACTGATTACTTATAGTACACCACAAACTTGAATAAAATTATCATCGATTATCATAAAGCCAAAGGACTACCCACAGCACTCCTATCGTATTATTATTATTTCGTCGTTCTCGTTACACTGTGGTTAGATTTTCAACTGATATACAAAATCAATGACTGTTGGTCGTAGTGAAATTCGTTTGAAATCCAAATTCGATATTTTCGCAAACAAATATTAGACGACGACGTTCAGTTACCCTCTAACTTCGTTATGGCGGAAACAAAGAAGGTGGAAGTAGTCATTTCGGGTGTAGCCGGAGTGTTCCCCGAAAGTGACAATGTGGAAGAATTGAAAGATCTGCTTTTCAATAAGCAGAACGGGATTACGTTAGATTCGAGACGTTGGCCATTGGGTGAGATAATTATTATGATGAATATTTATGTTTTCAAATGATTCGTATAATATTACTAGCACTGCATGTAAACCTATGGCCCTATATTTGTCTGTACCTTTTTTTTTGGTTTTTTCGTTATCGTTGTTACATTTTCTAATGCTAGTAAATAAACTATAATTTTTACAAATTATAATCAATTGAATAAGAGGATAGTTTTTATTGTTTTATGAATAAATATCAGTGTTCGGAAAAAAACAGTTTTTTTCATTTTAAACAAAAAAACAGTTTTTTATTCATTTCCGTTGTTTTTTTTGTTTTTTAAATTGTTTTGAACATGTTTAAAACAAAAAAAAGTTATTATAATTTACTTTGAAAGGACAATAGGAAATTGCACATAGACTTCGTGTGGTAGAACACAAATAATGTATGTTATTATGTCGCAAAGTTTATTTCCAAAGTTGTATGTTTTTTTCAATCAATAGGTAGTAGGTACTAGCCATTGGTATAGTATACAGGCTGTAACAGAAAGATATGACAAAATCGATTTTGGTTTTTGGTTAAAAAAAACCATCCTAAAAAAATTAGTCAAAACATAGTCAAAATATTTTCATACAAGGGTACCCACCAAAGGAAACGGTTTTCATTAATGTATCTTATTCTTAATGGTAGCATATTTTTCTACTTAGTCTAATTACCAATCTTTTAGAAAGTATCTTATGTCTCTAGAAAAATAAAAAAACTATGATACCTACTGATTAAATCGATAACTTTGGTTTGTCCACTATATTTTTATGCTTTTTCAATGATATATTTTTAAATATCAATATCGTTTTGTTTTGTGCGATGTTGAAAGAATATTTTATCGTAATCGTCAAAGAAGACTAATATTTTATATTTATTCTATGGTTATAAAATTTAATATTACACAACAAATATAACACATAGAATCTTACTATTACAAATATAAATTTTGAATATAATATAATACTATTTATTATATAGATACTTACATTTATACATTAATGATATAAATTATACTTTAGTAGGTACTAGGTATATATAGTAAAATAGTCCTAATATACCTAATATATTATATTGTTATTATTATTATTATTGTGGGAAAGTAAATTAATTTTAACTGCACAGTTAAAATAAATTAAGCATAATATATTATAGTAAATAGTAGATGTGACAAAATATATTAAACTAATACCCAATAATCTAAATAGGAAAATATTGTTCATCAAACATTTAAATATTTTTTATTGGTTTTGTTTTCAGACGAGTATGGTGTAACGTCTGGAGTAGGCAAAGTTAAGTCTATTGATCGATTTGACAACGTTTTCTTCAACATGCACGGAAAACTTTGTGAGAGTTCAGAGACCGTGATTAAGTTAAATTTGGAGAGATCTGTGGAAGCTATTATCGATGCAGGTGAACATTGCGCCATTACGTTTTAATTCATAATCTACATACCTAGTCCATATAAATATCTTAAAATTATAGATTTTGATGAACAGAAATATACATTGGAAGTACCTATGTGTATGAGTTTTTTACGACGTATTGTTATTTATTTCAGCCATATTAAGATTTAAAATTTTATTTATTTTTAGCTACATAGGTACTACAACAAATTATTGGCACATTTTAGTGATTTAGATGAATTTTGTCAACATTTCAACTTCAAAAGCTTATCAAAAAAAAATTATCTTTATCTTTATTCAATATTTTAAATTACTATAAGAAAAACCAATGTGAGATCTTGTATTTGATTTCCTATAGTTTTGAGGAGCCTATAAATAGAAAATAATTATTAATTAGTCAAGTTATAGTATAATTCAACTAATAATATTAGAATGCTTTAAATTAATATGGTCCATATTTTGTAATTTTCAACAAAATATCAAAAACCAATTGATGATAAATCGTTATTTCACGTGTTTATATTTATATTTATATCTCATAAAACATATACATAATTTGGTTTTACTTTAAATTTATTTTGTGGCCTTGGATAGCGTTGTGGTTTCTCAGTCACAACAGGTGTTCTGAGTGCTAGCATCAGTCGGTGTCACTATAGTGAAGAACTATAGTTCTCGAATGGGTGACCACCCGATTTTAAGTGACAAATCCTCACCATACATATACGTTTTCCAAACTAACTCGGGCCCCCAAAAATGCTAATGCCCATAGTTGCTAGGATTAAGATAAAAAAATTTAAAAAAAAATTGGAGGAATTTTTTTTTACATTTTTAAGCCTTAGTATTAAAATAAAAACATTAAGAATTTGGAATAATTACAAAATTACATAATTTCAAAATAGTTTAAATATTTCCAGGATTTTGACCATTATATTGTAAAAATTTGAAATTTAAACGGGCTTAAAAAAAAAAATTGACAAAGCATGTTTTATTGCTGAAAGATAAACTTAGGTTAAATTATTCAAATGTTTGTTTATAAATGGTCACCATGGGTTTTAAAGCTATTATAATAATAATTATTGGTTGCCGTGAAATCAGTGTATTCATTCAATGCATTTAATTTTTTTGTACGCTGTGTTTTGATATTATAATATGTACCTCAATTACGTAAATATTGAGCGTATTATACTCACATATAAGTTACGTACATAAAACAATGCCACTTTTTCGTGGATGAGAAGGAAATATTGGTCGACAGATTCGGCATTCACAATTAGTCCAGCCTTTTAGGAGGAGTTTTCAGTGACATACTTGGTATAACTTTGATACTTTAGAGTGAAATTATAAAGTTACGTACAAACAGCACGGGGTCATCGATCTTACCGCAGGTAGATTGCCTAGCTGATAATATACTGCTGCGAATCAGAATTTTTATCCCTGGCAACAGTCTGTAGAGTTAAGATAAATTTCGAACACCATACACCGAATATTAAATAACGAATTGAACAAACTTTGAGTCATATAGAGTTGGTACATTTAACGGGAAACGAAGTGCACGAGATCAGCTAGTTTCAAAATAATTTAAATATTTCCAAGATTTTGAACAATATATTGTAAAAATTTGAAATTTAAACGCGTTTAAAAAAAAAAAAATGACACAGCATGTTTTATTGCTGAAAGATAGGTAACTTTAGGTTAAATATTATTCAAAATGTATACGTATTTACAAATAAACATTTTTTCATACATAATTAAAAGAAAAAAAACTTAAAACGTCAATCATTTTAATTTCAATAAAAAAAAGAAAAAAATATATTGTTTAGAGCAACTAATATTTTGGGTTAAAAGTGTTTATAAATCCATTTTTCAGGTATTAATCCAGGAGATTTATACGATACTAACACTGCAGTATTCACATGTTCTTCGGGTAGTGAAACCGATACAATAGCGATGTTTGACGAATCGAAATTAGGATTTGCCATAGTTGGTCACAACAAGGCGATGCAGGCCAATAGACTTTCATACGTTTTAAATTTGAACGGTAAGTAATTTATTTTGTTTTACGATTTTGTGCTAACCATTTATACAGCTTAATGAATTATTATTTAATAATCATCGTGTTATTAAACCGATCTATTACGTTTGAAAAATACTATATGTCTTGTCGGTAACTGGAACACGTTTCGGTCAAGAATCATTAAAATAATTTACTGTCTCATATATAGGACCTAGTTTCACGATATTTTCGTCGTTCACTGGTGGTGTGGATGCAATAGTGATGGCTAAGCACATGATTGAAAAAGGCCACATCAGAACTGCGATAATTGGAGGTTGCAATCTAGTGCAAAGACCAAATTTATCACTTCAGTTAAAAGGTTTAGGTGTACTAAACGACGGGATAGAGACTCGGTCGTTTAGCGAAGATGGTGAGTTCTATATTTTTTTACATTATACCAGTTACCTCTATTGGTTATCGAGTTAACAAATCGTCGTAATTTATAATATTAAGGTTTGATAGCAATTGGTTTTTATTTTTTTTTTTTCTTAGCAAATGGATTCAACAGGTCTGAATCGTGCGTGGCCATATTACTACAAAATTCGTTGGACGCAAAACGGTCATATGGCACGATAATGAGTGCAAAAATGGAACAGTACGGAGATCTCAGAGGAGTATTTACTAATTACTCTACTGAACGTTACAAACAAATAGTAATGGAGGCATACGCAGAAGCTGGAGTAGATCCCGCTAACGTAGCATATATCGAAGCTGACGGATGTGGAATCAAGGTATTATTTTTATAATTTTTTTTCTCATTATCTCACATACTGATTATAATATATATTTTATTTTAATTTCAGAATGTAGATGCAATGGAGTTAGACATAATAAAAGATGTATTTTGTCCTCCCCGTCGAAAAGAACCCTTGAAGATCGGTTCGGTGAAAAGCAATTTAGGACACACCGATGCTTCAGCTGGTCTTGTATCGATAGTGAAATCAATCATCGCAATGGACACCGGTTTTATACCTCCCAATATAAATTATACCACGCCAAATACTGAATCAGATGCTCTTACATCTGGAAAAGTGCAGGTAGATAAATTTAATTGAATGCACTTTTATTAGTACCCAAGATCACACGAAAGTATGATAATTTGTCATCAAAACTTTGTTTTAATTAATATTGAGTGACAAAAAAATGACAAATTAGATCTTATGAAGAGTATTTTATTATTTTTCACCCTTGTTAAAAATATATTTTTACCATGCTATCATGTTACCTATTCTTTCAGATTGTCACAGAAAAGACCCCTTTAAATGGTGATATCATAGGATTAAATATTTTCGGTAGAACAGGGAATTATGGTCATATTATAATGAAAAAGTATAACAAACAAAAGAAGAGAATATATGCAAAAGACGAAATGTTCGATGACGATTTACCGAGGTTAATTCTTGTTTCTGGACGTAGTGATGCTGGGGTCAGGAAAACAATAAACACTGTATGTTTTAATTAGATATTTAAATTGTATGTAATCTACTGGATACTAATGTCACATCATTTTGTTGTTTTTGTTTATAGATCGAAAGATATAATGTTGATGAAGAATACACATCGCTGCTGCATAAAGTGTACTCCAAAAACATTAGTGCGCATTTCAATCGAAGTTTCTTCATCATTCCCACACCGGGCCCGCGGAGAGAAAAAGACGTTTACGTAAGCTTACCTGAACTTAAAATCATTTTTTTTTGTATCTACTTAATATTTATGCCAATATGTGTTTGATAGTCAATCACGAATGAAAAACCTCCAGTGTGGTTCGTGTTCTCCGGTATGGGATCACAATGGTTTGGTATGGGTGCGCAGCTATTACGAATACCAATTTTCGCCAAAGCGATCGAAAAGTGTGACAGGATTCTGCGGCCGTTAGGCATCGATATAGTGAATATTTTGACTAGCCTGGATCCGACGTTGTTTGACAATATCATGAACTCGTTCGTCGGTATATCAGCGATTCAGGTATGTAAACGATGAACAATATTCCAAAAACCTAAATACCTGGCAAAAAAACCAATATATTTTTGAAACAATAAATGTATTGTAACGATTTTTATCCGTAAATAGTTAAACTGTATTTTGTACATTTAATCATATTATTACAATTTCACGGATTTTTTTCCAGTTTATTGAAATTTGACATAATACTTAATGAATACTCAAGATTCTCACGAATTTATACGCTCATATCAGTGTTTATTCCCAAGTATATTTAATCAATATCGATTTGGCATTCAATAATGTAAACCTTCATGCTGTTATTATAGTTTTCGAATCAGGTATAAAGAACCTCTTATTTCATGGCTCGAGTCAATCATATAAAATAGGAAGCAATAGATCAAAATTCATAGAACCGCATCCAATAATATCTCAAGTGTTAACATTAATACGTCTTATGTCTAATGGTAAAAAAAAAACTATCCCAATCTGTTTCATTCCATATTTCTTTGACTGTCACTCACTATGATGATAATAAACCTCTTTACCAATCTATGTATTCAGCTAATTTGGACCCATTATTTTCTCATATACTTTTGTCATTTATTACATAATTGTCTTGTTCTTAATTTCTATTACACTATAAGTATCTATTAACTTATCTTATTACTTTATATTGTATTTATTCAACAGCCTGTAAGTTGATAATTTGTTTGCATTTTATTTGCCATTTTTATCTATTACTTTAAATAAATAAATATGCTATACATTTCTTGAGGTATTTAAATTGCCCATTCAAAAACGAGTTTTGGAATACTGTGGTTTGTCGCTGGTCGGCTTGGACCGATAAATCGACACTAAGTCTTGTGCTTATTACAATATAATCAAATAATAACACTATACAATATAATAATTAATATTCTACCAGGTACATGTTGGTTTATATTATAGATCGGTCTGGTGGACATCCTTAGGGCGTTGGACATCGAACCGGATGGTATTATCGGACATTCCCTCGGTGAGTTGGGCTGCGCTTACGCCGACGGTTGTTTCACAGCTGAAGAGACGATAATGGCTGCGTACGCCCGGGGTCGGGCCTCTGTGGACACAAAACTTCCAAAGGGCATGATGGCAGCTGTAGGTCTTGGTTATAAGGACATCAAGGACCGATTACCACATGACATAGACGTAGCGTGCCACAACTCGTCGGAGAGTTGCACGATATCCGGGCCCACTGCAAGCATCGCGGAGTTCGTTGAGAAGCTCAAGTCGGAAAATGTTTTCGCTAGGATGGTCAACGCTTCGAACATATCGTTCCACAGCCGGTATATACAGCCAGCGGCTCCAGCTCTACTTAGTTACCTGACTAAAGTGTGTTTTATTTTTTATATAACATATAATATGTTTCGCCCATGCGTCGCTATTCGGGTCTCGATTGTTACGGGTTTTAATGGGTTTTCAGAACATACCGAATCCAAAACAGAGATCGTCTCGATGGCTCAGTACCTCTATACCAGAGTCAGAATGGAATACAGATTTGGCTCGTTACTGTTCGGCAGAATATCATACCAACAACCTACTGAGTCCCGTTCTGTTCGAGGAAACGTGTGTGCACATACCGAGCAATGCCGTCGTCATTGAGATCGCACCACATGGTCTTCTCCAGGCCATACTCAAAAGATCATTGAGCAAATTGGTCCACATCCCGTTGACACAAAAAGTATTTGGAGATTCCGTGAGATATTTGTTGATGGCTATCGGAAAGTAAGTGAACATAAATCCTTACGATTCAAATCACTTATTTCATCACAATTTTAAACAGTTAGTTTTAAATCGCCATTGATATTAATATATAACAATATGGTACTGGCACTTCTTAGGTAGCTGGACAATTTCTTCAGTTTGTCTATTACTACAAATGAATGGTTTTAAATGAGGAGCCGGGTGATATTTATTTATCTATATTTATGTTTAATGGCTTAAACAAAGTTGTTTAAATATTTTTCATTTTTTTCAATGATAATATTTATTTATTGTAGAACAGTACAACATTTATAGATACGATAATATTGCAGAACACATATAAAAAAAACCTAAATAATTATTATTGGAAATGATAACAAAAATTCCTTATGTCAAAATTTCATTTTTTTTTAGACATCTATCAATCTAGAGAAGTGATTAAAAAATTTAATTTTTTTTTAGGTTGTATTGCAGTGGATTGAATCCAAATATTGAAATGTTGTACAACCCTGTTAGCTATCCCGTGGCTAGTGGTACTCCACCATTGCATACGTTGTGTTCATGGAATCACGAAGAAGTATGGTCAACCATCGACGTGACAATACTGGTTAGTATACTGTACAACGATATGAAAATATATTTTATAAATAAAAAAAAAATATATCAGATTCATCATCGGAATTATAAAAATTATAGATAAAAAAGAATAAAGGTGAAAGGCTTATTTCACTGTCGCCTTCTACAAACAGTTCAATCGAAGAATATGAAATACACGGCCGTCACGTTCTTCCACTCTCGGCACTATTGGTATATATTTAAAAAACATAACTTAAAGCTACATATAATAGTAAGAAGTATCTATACTCCCTAGTCCCTACAAACTAAAATATTATATTAATTTTTACCCTCAGTATGTGCTCTATTTATGATGACAAAACGATCACTTATGCCGTATACGTTTTCTTTAGTTTTACACGTGGGAATCGTTCAATCAATTACGTGAAGCACCCGACATGAACTTACCCGTTGTCTTTCAAGATGTTCATTATCATAAACACGTCGTGATAAACAAAATCCGTAAGTTATGCGTTGTAATTTAGCCGTATATTATATATCTAAGCATTATATATTTTTTATCCCGTTCCTGTCATTACGGCATTATCAATTAATTATTATTGTTAAAGTTTTAATATTTAGGTATTTTATTTGGTACATATAAATTTAAATTACACCCATACACAACATATGCCACATATCACGCAGTAGACTTTCATTAAGATTTAATAGGACGTTAACCCTCATAATAATATGTTGTTTCTACCTTACTGCTCGTTACCTAGAAAATTGTACTTGAAGAAGAATTCATTTTACTCTATTATTAGCGTGTTTATTGATCTTTTATCAAATTCGAAGGCAAAATATTATCAAGGGCAGGGCACCTATAGATGTATATTCTAGATATTTTAATTGTAAAGCAGGGCTTGAAACCGCTCTTGAAGAAATAGGTTACCGGGTCCGGTAGGACCCTGAACATTTTTTGGAACCGGTTACCGGTTATCGAGGTTTTTAGAAATAATGATAATCATTTCCCGCTTACCGAAATAAATTTTATAAATGGGATTACCGGTTATCTATTTGGAAGCGGTTTTAAATCTTCAAAATTACCGGTTACCTCACAAAACCATTTTTTTTTGTATTAATACCTACTCTATTTTTTTTCATCAAACTTAACATGTTTAGTATAGTACTACACAGTTTTGTTCAGTATTACTATTATTTCGAACTAATGTAACGAACTTATTATTAAATAATGAATATCAAAACAGTCCCTGATTATAAGTTATAAGGTACCTATTAGGTACCTAGTACTTGGTACAATATCGTACATGCAAGAGTTATATACTATTATATATATATATGTATCAGCCCGCATTCGTCGATGTTTCTACCATTCGTATCAGTATTCAGTATCTATATCATAGTCTAAAAAGTACTCATGGTAACCGGTTACCGGGAAAAATCGGTTACCGGTTTCAAGCCCTGTTGTAAAGCAAGTTATGAGCATTAAAAAAATTTAATTTAAAAATGCTAATAACTTAGTTAAAATTAAAATATCAAGCAAACAAAAAACAAGGTGTATAATGTATTATTATAAAAACGTAGAACGAAATTTTTTTCAAATGAAACCAAGTTTAGAGTAGTAAATGGTCTTGAATTAGAAACTAAGTCGATACAATGATAAATCGAATTCAAACATCGACCCATTGACTATACCTATAGTATAGTCTTTAGTGCGTATTTGATTAGGTATAACGTTTGTTCCTGAATTGCAAATACAATATCTCACATTCTCACGCATATCTCTTATTTAAGTTTTCTGGTGGTGGTTTTGTTTTAGAATCCGGTGATTTGTGTACGGCAATACAGAGTGGAACAGGGCGCTTTGAGCTGTGCTTAAACAATACAATTGTGTTGTCTGGATACATATTTGTATTCGACCAACCGAAGTCGAACAAAAATACAAAAGCAGTGAACGGGGAAAGCGTCGGAAGCAGTGGCGGAAAATCTATTGTATCGTTGAGTCACGACGACGTCTACTCAACCCTAGAACAGTTCGGCTACAATGTCGGCGACGTTTTCAAAACGATTCGGCACGCGGACATCTACGAAGACAGTATGCACAAAATAGATATAATATTGTATATTATTACCATGTACCCCGCCACCAAAGCTTGAAACCGATATTTATAACTTTAATGATTTCGATTTAAGTTTTTCTAACGGTTATTTTTTCGATTTAAATTCCGAAGTTGTCGGTTTCGGTTACAGCGTAGTATTACAAAACACTAAACTGTAGTATACTTAGTAAACTGAAAACTTTTAAATTGTTAAACGGGATCTTAATATGTATGGACTATCAGTTATATACATACTGATATTCTTACAACTCACACGATTGGCACACACAAATACGATTTGACGGTTTATTTCAAATGCATCCCGCAGGATTGGAAGCAGATGTATCGTGGGATAACAATTGGATTCACTATTTGGACGCTATGCTGCAGCTGGCGACAGTCCATCACGTGGAGAAACGTGGAGAGCTCGTGGTCCCGATTTCGTTCCAAGAGATATGTATAGACCCATCCACGTTGTTGGAAAGTTCAGCACCGATAGGTAAAATTTACAGTTAATGTTGCAAGGTTTAGTTATTAAATGTGTATAGCTATATTCTATAAATATTATAGTCAAGTAGGTAGGTAGTGAGTACCTACTATAATTGTTTTACAGATTGCACGATGAATAGGAGGTACTAAATCCACGTAATATTATATTATCTAATCTATTTTCTATTAAAAATATGAATTGAAGCAGTCACGATTCTGAGCAGAGACTTTCTGTCAGCCTATTCTTCTAAGGATATTTTAATACCTACCCGCCTACCTTCATATTTTGCATAGTTATTTGTAATTTGTTGTTCTATTAGTAATAAGGTTGGTTAATTTATTTTTGTCTCTAAACTAATCACATATATTGTATATACTGTAAGACGGTGTGAATAGGATCGTGCTATAAGTAGTTTACAATTAATCTAAATATTTTGAACATTTCATTGTGTTTTGGAAATATGTATAATGAGTAAACCTACGTTGTGGCAAAAATTTTAAAGTTGTAGATAGATAAACTTATATGAAATCTTCCATTAAAATGTTTAATCTTGGGTATGAAAATAGAAAAATCGTTTGAAAATGTTGATGATTTTTGTCAACATTTTAACTTTAAATGCATATAAAAAATAATTGTGCCCATGTATTTCTGATATTTTTGAACTTACATTAATTAAACTTGTAAGGAACCTTGTATTATATGTTCAAACTTTTTTAATAATAATAATTTTAAAAATATTTATAAATTTTAAAATTTCTAAAAATGTATTTATTTTTCTAGAACCTTTCTAAAATTACTTGTAAGTTTCCATTTTTGCCTCCCAACAGTACCAACTAGATTCACTTTTCCATCAGAAAAAATGCTGATTTTGAAAATCGGAGCATTTTTACTATCCAAAATTTTGATGACAGGCAGAAAAGAAAAAAACACACATCATTGTAAAATTAATGCATTCTTTAGTTAGGTTCAGAATCTAAATGTTATTTAACTCTGCATTTTTAAACTTCTATAAAAACTACTTCTATGGGATCTTGTATTAAATTAGTTTATTAATTTAGTTATTTTTAAATGTTTATACAGATTTGGCCGCCCAGTACAATGTATTTACCAACAAAGTGACTTGCGAAGGCATAAAGATTTCTCTACCCTGTTTCGAAGTATTGCCGTTGGATCCGTTGGTAAAGACCACATTCCAGCTTAGAGAACAGAGTTTGGTCGATCTGTCCAATCCTAGTATCAAAGTGAGCTATATCACCAATATCATATTATGCTTTTATCAGGGGTGGATTAAAGGGGAGGTAAAATAGGTATATTTCTAAGGTCTAAAAAAATTGAACCATTATAAAGGTATATTATTATCACTGGATTAATTATTTTATTATTTTATATCGATAGTTTCATTTTACGACAGTTATGTGGCCTTTAGTGTGAATGTGCTTATAGCTCTTAATCCTACTCTGGTGAAAATGAAAATGAAAACATAGAACACATCAAACTTACATTGCTAACACATTGCTCAAATTTATTCGCAGAATCCCATAGATTTTATTGACACGTGTATGGACATAGTTCTTGAATTCAGACAGAGTGACGATTTTGAAAATGTTTTCATGTATCCCGTGTACGACAGTCAGGACGCCGAGATGGAAAATTACTCCGATCACATTTTAAAAACCAAAGTATAGTGTCTACAATTTAGTGTGATTTTAGCAAACACATGGGTTTTGGGTATTATTAAATAATTAAATATTGATTTTTAGGGTTTCGATGTGATGATGATAAAAGACGATTTTAAGTCGGGGCAACTAAACAGGGGATCAGACAATTCGCAATACGTTGCATTGACAAGACACACAAGATTATCGCAAGCTATGTTATTGATGAAAAATAGAAGTCGTGTTCACTTGATCGTATTTTCAAAATGTCCTTTATCCGACAATGGTGATTATACAGTAGTGCTGCAACAGAAATTCGGTGATAACAATTTGGCTCTAATTAAAAAGGTACCACTTGAAAGTGTTTTATAATAAAAATATTTACTCGTACACAATGTTAAAATAATAAAAATGTATGATGGATCGAAAAAAGTTCAAATATAGTGTTTGTGCAGATGCCAAGGCAATAAACTGGTGCTGACCCTGTTTTAACTTCCATTTATCTTTAAAATCATATTTCTCAAATTAAGGATTGGTACAGAAAATTTCCGGCTGGCTACGCATGCTTAAAACTCCTCGCACTAACAATTAAATACACCAACCTAATCAATAAACTACTCAAGTTACTATCCATACTAAAACTTATACCAATTAATGACTATCAATTATGGAACAATGCCAAAATCTCAAATCCTAAAAAAATACAGACGTTTTAAAATATTACCTTAAGAAAAATAACTTACTCTCTGACATACATATCAAACCATACCTTTCACATTGATGACTGATCTCCATCAAAAAACAGTCCAAGAAGATGCAAAATGCTCCTATAAGCATTTTCACAATCGTCTGATAATTCACCCAAATCAATTAATCAAGGATATACCATCGAACGAAATTTCTGGAAATCGTCCAAGACGCTTAAAAAAGAAATAAAAAGATACCTCTTTAAAAATTAAATAAAAACTATCTAGTTCAATTAATTAATCAAAAGATTCAACAGGAAGTGTAACTACTAGATGGTTCCTTCTAACAAGTATTCATATGTCACTGTAAAATAGCACATATTCTTATTCTACCCCAGGGACCAGGGTACACATTGTACATCTCTTTAAAAAAAAAATATATATATATATATAAAGTGTTAATTATATTGAACGACATCATTTTTACAGGTTTCAAAAGTCGATAGTGATGCTATAATACAAAGATTGACTTCAGAAAATATAAACTGCAGCGACCAATTTCAAGATTTATTAACTAATTCGAAATCATTAAATAAAACCATTTATTTAGTGTCGAAGATTCAACCGGTAGATGGAATAATATCATTGGTGAAAAAAATGAATAGAATAAAAAATATTCGGTAAGGAAATTATAAACTGTGTTTATGTTAATTAAATAAACTACATACAGAAATATTGGTGTTTTAGGTTTTTCTTCTTGCTGGATAATGCTGTTCCTGGATTTAGTACCAGTAATCCATTTTATTCAAAACAAATAGCCAAAGACTTATTAGTTAACGTCTATCAAAATGGACGATGGGTTACGTATAAGGAAATCAAATTCATAAATGTTATAAATACCCAAACATCGATGAAAAAGACACTTCTCGCTAACTTATCTAATACATCGTAAGTTTTTGAATTGAATGTAACTTAATCATTAAGTTTTAATGTTGATAATAATTATTTAATAGTTCTTTATTGATTTCAATCATATAATATAGTGTATATATTTTTTCAAAGAAAAATGTTGATGCCAAAATTATATTCTATGCCTATTGTTATTGAAATTAACTAAAAATGTAAATTAATTATCTATAATAGAATACCTAATACAACTTTCTAATTATATTTTAATGCCAATATTTTCAATACTGTCTGTCATATAAAAAAACATACTAGGTACGTAATCGAGTAATAAAATAAAATAAACTAAATATCTATTAGAGTTTATCTATTTTGAATAAGGTGTTAAAATGTTTGTTAAATTATATTTTCATCCATCATATGTATAAGATTAATTTAATGAAAAATTGTATTTGATTGATTACAGTCATTATATTAATTTATACTTACCGCTATCACGTGTGATCCCTATTACCAATCTTTGTTTGTTAAGTACACATTTTGGCAGTTAAAAATATGTATTTTATCATAGTAATCATAGTAATCATATACGTTGTTTTATTTTATACTATGGATTTGGGTATTACATTATTAAACAACGATCTTTATTATAATGTTAATATGTATTTTTTTAATTTTAGGTTGAAAAACGTTTCTGTAAAGTATATCGGTCTGAATCCTCAAGACACAATTGTAGATACGAGATACAACAATGTAGAGTACGACGAGCTAGGACCTATTGAGTACTCCGGTCTGGCGTCTGACGGGTCTTTGATGATGGGAGTTGCGCCATTTATACCGACAGTTTCTGATATCACTGCTGATCCTATTCTATCTTGGGTAGTCCCTAAAAACATGTCCCTTGAAGAAGCGTCGACCATTCCGGTGCCATATTCAATGGTAAACATAATGTTTATTCGCTGTGAAATTTTTATTATAAAAATATTATATACAATTATTATTATTATCATTATTATGATTATAATTAATTTGTGGATTTTATTTCGATACATTACAGGCGTATTACATGTTGATCGTAATTAGTGGGATAACCGAAGAAAATTCAGTGCTAGTACATTCTGGATTAACTGCTGTAGGCCGGGCTGCCATAGACATATGTCTGGAAAAAAAATGTAAAATTTATGTCACCGTATCCGATTCTAAACAAATGGAACTGTTAAAACAGAGATTCCCATTGGTACGTATCTATAAGCTGAAGAGCGTCGTAAGATTAAAAATGCACGTACAGTTTTGATACATTTTGATAAATTACCTACATATGAATTATAGCTTCCACATTCAAACGTAATAATTTACGAAAAAGAGAATTTCGAAATTAAATTCCTCATGGCGAACCATAAGATGGACGTAATTATAAACTGTCTAGAAGGAGACGATTTTTACGCTACTTTTCGAGTAATTGCAGATCATGGAAAGTTTTTCCAACTGACCAAAAGCGACATGAAAAAGAAATATAAAATGGGTACAACAATATTATATAATAGTATTCGAAAGTTTCTATGGATGTTAAATTTAACTATAATGTTACCTTTGTATTTCTTAAAAGGTATGTTAAAATTTCTTAAATGTATATCGTTCTTCTCTATCGGCATGGACAGAATAATGGCAGAATGCGAAGAAACAAAACAGATCATTCAAAAATTGATTCAACAAGGCTTACATAACGGTACGATCAAACCCTTTGATCGACATGTACTGACTGGAGCGTGCACGGGAACTCAAGCTCTGGAGACCCTTGAGTGAGAATACGATAATTGATTAACAATAATATTATTATTATATTTACGGTGCAATATTCGTAAATTCTTATTCGTTTGACTTCGCTACGTGTTGTAGGAACTTGACTCGAGAAAACGAATTTAAACGTGTCGTGATATCCACATCGAAAGCCATCAACGCAGGAAACGCAACACGCCAATTCCAATGTTGCCCAGATAAAGTGTACTTCGTTATCGGTAAAACCAAATCCATCATCGATAGCACCAAGTAGTTTTATACCTATATGTACCAAAATTATGTTTATAGGAAACTCATGTGACGATTGGTTGTGTCTGGTGGAATGGTTGGCGCAAAGAGGTGCGTTGAAAGTAGTCGTGGGCTTGGAAACATATTCACTGACACCGACAGTGTCAAGGAAGTTCAACATCTTCCTTGATCGTTATAAGGGAATCACCGTGCAGTTAGTGTCACAGTCATTATTAGACACAGAACAATCGGCTTACGATTTATTGAAAAGTTCGACAGCAACGTATCCATTGGCTGCGATATTCTTCGTGAGCGGTGTAAGTCATCAGTGTCGGCATTTGAGTTTTAAAAAAAAATTTGTCCAATTTGCATGCCATTTCTTAAACGGCTCTGTCAGAATGTCATGGCCCATGGATAATGTAAAATATAAACAATATAACCTTACCTATTCATATATCATGATGTATATTACAGTTTTACTTATCATAATATTTTGATTATTTTGTGGACTTAACTGGAAAAAAGTAGGTATATTGAAATAGTGAACTGTAGGTTTATCATTTTCTAAATGATGAGTACATAATATGTAATATTGTCATATAAAGCCTATGATGCCCACGGCATGCGTTTTGGACGGACAATTTTTAAAGGATAGCGTGCTTTTGGACACTTTTTATTTATACATTTTTGACATGTGATTGAAACGCACAAACCGAGCGTCTCTAACCAATTATTTTCCCCAGACCACGGTGAGGTTTAATAATATGTTGTCTGATCGTTGATATTTCAAAGGTGGAAGAAAAAATGATCGAAAACATGCACTTCGCGATGGGTCAAATCGTCACAAAACAGAATCAAAAAACGCTGTTCACATGCTTATTCTGCGGTGGGGCAAAAACGTGCGATCAATTAAAGTCAACTGGCGTCAACGCTCTGTGCTTGTCGTGGGGCCAGAATGGTGACAAACCTAAGCTCAGCAAAATCATACCCATACTGGAGAATTTAATTCTGAAATCTGACGCTCTCACGAATGCCGTAGTCGTGTGCTCGGAACACGAGGCTGACAAATGGACACGTATGAAAATAATATTTATTTATTCCAAAATTACAGATAACTTATAAATTTAACATATTAAATATACACAATAAATACAAATTGTCCAAACAAATTAACATAGAGAAAACCATATTAATTATTATGGTCAACATAAAAAAGAAGAATAACATCGACTCAGAAACTATGGAGTTTAAGATTAACTTCTCTAATAATATCAGTATACTGCTGACCGAACCTCCAATAAACATAAATCAGCTTAATCTTGTATAATATTTAATCTATGATACACCATTACGTTATCCTATCACGAGATGTAGACGCCATAGCACGTATGGTATAATCTATTGTTTGTTGTTTTCACTTTATTATCATAATTTATTGTTTATTCTATAACCATACGGTAGTGCACTGTAGAGGGACAGAGTGGCCGAGCGTTCTACGGCGTCGCGTCGGTTCTAACGCGCACCGTCGGCGGTTCGAATCCCGGCCACTGGCTCTCTGGGCAGGTAACTGTTTAGACGGCGAGACCGCCATCCCCCAACCAGACATGGGAGAAACCTTTAAGTGCCCAATTAGAAATTCTGCCAAATAGGTGTCCGAACTAGGCCTTCGGAAAAAAAAGTGTACTGTAAAAAATAGAGTACCTACATCGTACATGAATATGAACGTATAGATTTTAGTACCTAGGTTATAAATTACCGTTGTATAAGTACATACATTTTACCTGTATATTTTTCGATTTAAGATTCTAAAGTGCTGCGGTACGACCATAACAACATGTTCTTACCGAGCACCATCGGCGAGCTGGAACATAACTCAAAGTACATCGTTGTTGGTAATCCAGACTTCGTGGAAGTGGCTACCAAGAGCGTGTTGTACGCTGACGCCAAAGGAGCGTATCCCGTATTCGTTATGCCAGGATTCCAACCCAACTGCATGACAAACCTGTACAACAACCTGGGCTACCCGACGTTCGAGGCCCGATATCCGTCCAAATTCGAATCAGTCAATAGCGTAGCCAGCGCCCTCGTAAAAGTGAGAATCTATGGTCTACGTTAATTCCCGTAAAAATAAATAAACATCCCTGGTTTAATTAACTCTGAAAAAATATCTCATGTACAATATTGGATATAATACAATGTTAATTACATCAAATTTCTACCAGAAAAAGTTACAAATCAAAGAAAAATTCGTTAATTTTACTTGCAAGTTGGAAAGCCATTTTACACTATACCTGAAAAACAAACGTTTTCTATAATAATAAGTAGGTATCATCAAACTGATTTGGAACTATGGCATATAACAGTAGGGACCTGCCAAAACAATATCCAATATTTTAGTTATTCAACATTGTCAAAATATTGCCCTTCTTCCTATTGTCGAATAGACGAATAATCACGTATGGTATATATTTATTACTCATGAGTCACGTATTATGTATACCTAGTTAACTTTTATATTCACATTTTGTATTGTATTCATAAAGAAAACTTGTCGTTAAAATACAAATGACTTAGGGGTGTTGAATAATATACATACTATATATTATATACCATACTGTCTATATTCTGAATTCTCTAATTTCTTAATATTGATATTTCGTAAATTATTATACTAATATATATAAACTAAATCTTGACGTTATAGGTATGTACCTAATAGCTATTATTTACGTGGTAGCTTATTGATTATTCATATCAGAAGTATTTATATTAGTGATATATTTATATTGTACATAAAACATTATTTTTTTTTTTGAAGATACTTTGACCGGTAACCTTCATTTACCACCTTACCTTGTTATGATGATGACATGATGTGTTTTTCAGAAACTAAGACAAATAACCGAACACCGAGCAGTCACTCTGATCGGAGAGTCTTGGGGCGGTGCAGTTGCTCTAGTAATGGCTCAAATATTGGAAACTGAAGGTATTTTGGTATCACTGTCGCTGTTGAACGGAGTACCAAGCACCCTTCTCAGTTGGACCAAAAAAAATCTCCTTCTTGACGACAGCATAAACGCGTCGTTGCTTTCGAGATACCTGTCGATCGACTGTGAGGTACGAACCTGATCGACCATCAACCCAATTTACTTCATAAGATTTGAAAATGGTCTAAATTTATCTTATTTTTTTTTCAACGAGATACAGATGGCCAAAAAATTTTCATCTCAACACGAATGGGACACGAACATTATCCAGCTACTTCGGTCAAACAATATCACGGCTACTCGTGACGTGAGTAGCTCGTTAAGCATGGTGCAAACACAACTCAACACACTGATTAAACTGGAACCACTATCCAATAAGCTATTATCGATACCCCAAGTATTCGTATCCAACGAGCTGTCCGACACGTCTATGGACTCCTTAAACAAAGTGAGTCGCTTTAATACGATCGAGACATGGAACATAGTAATATGTTCTATGATCGAGATAATAGTGATTACGTTATTCATTGACGTATTTACATCTAATTTTACAAGTTATTTTTTAGTTTTTTTTTGTTAAGTATTTTTGTAATTTTTGTAATTTTTGTTTTCTTCTATAGTTTTGCATCAATCAGCCTGTTATTCACATTGTTGCCGAATCAAATTGTAGGAATATGTTGAAAGATGCAAATATTATTAAAACGATCAATGAAAACGTAGCGTTTGATTACCCCCACAGCTCGAAGTTGTCTTTGGACGACAAATACAGTCAGCACTATTATAATACCGAAGTTCCATTAGTGTGTTAACTAACATTTTATTTTTCAAATAACAACTGTCAATTTATTATTTGTCAGTAGATTTGATAAATACGCATAATATATACTATTTAATATTGTTTATTTATTATCGAAATAAAGCATTTCGTGTTTTAAAGTTCATGTTTTTTTTTTAAATTCTCCTTTCTTTTTTCTCTAGATAGACATAATAATCATAATAATAATATATTATATAAGCCCTTATTATCCATCTACATTCTACAATTTATACATATATATGTACATGGTTTGTTTATAGCTATTTAAAACTATTAATGATACTTAGGCATGATTTTTTTATGAGCATTTGAAATTCAAATGCTGACAAAGATCGTCTAATCGCGTAATATTTTGTATTTATGTAGTTAAAAATGTATACAATGTTCAATTTTTATAGCTAAGATATGAAAACGTAATATACGATTCCTCGTAAGTAAATATAGTTTATACTGAAACTAAAAATGCTAAAGAATTTATTATAAGCTTGATTTATTATTTTGACATTTTAATATCAACTTTGGACAAAATTCGATATTTAAACATAGAATAATAAAATTATGGTATTAGTTATTTTATTGTAATTAAAAAATGTTCGTGAGGTCTTTACATTGTAAAGTATATTATTACACTTTATTCTTCCACCATAATTTCATTTAGTTTAATGTCTGTGTAAATTAAATAAATCTAGTCTTCAATTCTAGCTGATAGCAACTTAACTACTGCAGTTAATATATTTCCTAAAACTACTTTATACTAACCTAGGCATAAGTACACAAACAAAAAGTGGTCTGCTGCCACTTCGCCGTTATAATAACTTAACGTACAATACAGTGTTTGACATTTATGGTAAGTTATAGATCTCTGATCTATGTAAACGACGACTAATAGTGACTAATATTCAGATGGTAATTTTAGGTTAAATATATAACCTATTAGTCTTTGTGATCAATCATCGGTTGGTGATTGCAATCGATTGAAGTATATCTGACTTCAAGTATTTTTTGAATTGTTTTTTGTCTTCGTTTAAGATTTACAACTTACAATAAATTATTTGTTTCTCTCTCTCTGACCGACGTGTAACAGGAAATTGTTGGTTAGTATTTAGTAATAAATTATAACTATAGGTACCTATGTTAAATATCATTATGATTTTAAAATCAAAAAATCAATAAAATTCTATATATGAAGTGATCTATCCAAACTTTTACGACCACTGCACAATTAGGAAAAAGTTGCTTGTTTTTTGAAATCTCAATGTCTGTATAACGAATATAATACAGCAATATTATTCTATAGTAACTATTATGTAGGTAATATTTTTTATCCATGTATGGTATAAAATAATTTTCTCAATATTCACATACATCTGGTGGAACCCTCGAGATTCTCCCACAGAACCCTCAGGTTTCACGAAATACACGTCGGAAATCACTGTTCTTGATAATAATCAATATTTAAAAAAAAATTTACCTGATAAACACAAATTTGTTGTGTTCCAAGTGGGTCAGAAGGACAACACAAATAGGTAATGCATAGTAATAATTCATAGTAATAATATTAGAAGGTAATACACCTCGTCAATGAGTATTAGAGCACTGTAATTGTGTATAGTGTGTTAAATTTTAATTCAATGATATATCATTGTTACAAAAATGCTAAGCTGATATATCGTTAGCGTCAGGGACTGGAACCTATTGGGTTTTTCGGTTCCGGTTAAGGTTATTAGATTAATTTGTTTAAGGGTTCCGGTTTCATTTCGGTTTTCTAAAAAAATACAAGGGTTCTAGAACCGGTTAATACCATATCTGAAAAATACAGGTTATTTTCGGTTAATTCTGGATTTATTAAAAAATAGTATGAAATAATTTATTTATTCTTGTTTAAATTGTAGCTATTTCATGAAAATAGAAGGTATTATGAATAGTTCAAAAATAATTATAAAGATATTATATAATATATTTAAAACTGTTTGGCGAGAAAAAAACTTAAATAAATATCTGATACTTTCCTATAGAGGTATTACATTTTTTTATCCTGTATTTGAAGCACAGTATCCTGAAGATATTATTTCAATCGATAATTTAGCAGAAACTTTAGTGAATGTATGTTTACGATGTACGAAAATATTTACAATTTTTTAACTGATTTATATTTTGTCCAAACCGTAGAAATATCAAATATTGGAATCGCAACGAATATTAATCACTGTAACATTGTAATGCGCCAACTACTACAGTTGAATGTTGAAAGTATTTTGAAATAAAACCACGAAGATTATTGAATATTTGGTATTTTATTTAACTCGGTAAAATAATGTCTAAGTTCAATATATATTAATTTGGTTTAAACTGTGGTAAGCGAGATGCGACTGGGTATATTAGATTGGTGCCTGCTCGAGTTGAGGATGGCTGCTCGTCTGATGGACGCTTGTCCATCAGCGTATTTCGTCGAGTAGTCCTATCAGATCCCTACTATGGATTTTAGTATAAAAATGATACACGCGCTGCATAGGCTTGATGTCACTTTTGGACGTCATTTGTATATTCATGTTATATCCGGGATAATATTTTGTACTTACTATGCTATTAATTTTACCTAGAATTTGGTTTATTAAAATGCATGTACCTATCACTTGTTCTTTAACGCGTCGTGCTGTACCATTGTTATTATTACTATTACTTCTATTGATGCGTGCAGCCCGGGTCACTCGCTCACTGCAGCATTTAGTTATATTATTTGCAAAAACTAATCCTAGTATTGTCACAAAGTCACAGCTCGCTACAACATTATTAGAATTTGACCCAGAGTTTTTGACTGGATGGGTTGAGAGTTTTCTGTCAAATGATAATTTCACCAAGAGGTTAAATAAAATGTATAGTTCATCGTACACTGAGGTAAATGCTAAGTACAGAATAATTAAGAAGTGTTAATTCATTACTAATTATTATCTTATAACAAAATAAAAGATTTTGTCATAAAACTGGGTATCGTAATTATAATTAACATTTTTTTTTGATCCCCAATGACTCTTCAATCAATTATTTATATCTGTTTGAAAGTCAATAAATTATCATTATTATTTTATTTAGTTTACTAAATCGACAGTTCAAACGAGTGACAGTGAATTTCAGTGGACGACTGTTCAGAGTTATATAACATAATATGAACGTAAGAAAATAGGACAAGACCTGAATAATCAATCTATGCAATTAGAATACTTATAAAAATATTTAATTACAACAGTTAAATATTATTCCTTATTATTTATTTAAGTATTGAAAATAACCAAATATGAATTTTTTTTCATTCCTAAAGGTACGATTCCTTTCTGTATAGAATAAGTCCCATTTTATATTTACTGGCATTAAGATGTAGTTTTTTGGACCTATATAATCTATGCATTTTTGACTAAACATTTTTCTAGAATACTCCATTCTGACATAAAATGCCCCATTTTCTCTTTTAATTATTACCTTTTTCATATCCAAAAGGATTCAAAGTTTTTAATTATTTATACAATAGTTATTTTTTTTTAAATACAAAGTATTTTTACTTAAACATATCCTAACAATTTTTCTTTGTAAAAGTTGTAGTAGTCTAGACCAATTTTGATTCAATCAAAATTATCATTTTGACTATTATTTGATGTAAAGGTATATTACAAAATTTATAAAGAAATTAGGTACCTAGTCAATTGATTGTTTTTATTTCTACAAATAATTATTATTACAAATTACCTATTTCAAGTAAATATTACTTAAACGGTATTATTACTTATATTTACAAACAAAATATAAAATTATTATTTACAAGTTCACAATAATAATAGTGCATTAATTTAAAATGATTTATTTGTTACACCATGAGAGAGGCGGGATTTATATGTTTTACATATCGTTTCTGAGTACCTATATGCAGACTTATGATAGTAAAAAATTTAGATAATACAGTTTACAGTAGACAGTAGGTCAGTAGGCACTAGGTAGTATAGCCGGCACAGTTTATAGGTGCGGCTCCAAAGACATGATTAGCCGATTAGGGGGTGACTAAATTATAATTTTCAGAACATTTTGATGATTCTCGTTTGTAATTTTGTTTTTAGCAGTATAAATTTGTTTAGAAATACAGCTTTGGAAGGGGGCCCTAGGGCCCCCTTGGAGCCACTCCTGCCAGTTTAATGGATATCAATCCATAAGGTTTGGTCTACGTAAACAAATTCTCTACTATAACCCAAGAGTGGGAATAAGTATGTGCAGTCAGAAAAAAATCATTAAAAAAAGTGCTCTGCTGTACAGTAGGTTACAAGTGGGTCACTGAATAATGGATGGTATTAAATTTGAATTCAATGATATGATATCATTGTATAAGAAAAACGATTCAGAGAGGTATGTCAGTCTAGGTATAAGACATATTATATACATATATATTATTAAAAAAGAAATTGACCTATAATAAATTCCAAATTAATCATACCACAATATCCATTAGGTACTTATGACGCGTTATACATCAATAAAAAACCGTGATACTATCATAGATAAATAGTAGTACACTTTAGAAGTTTCAAGTACCCACGAATAATATTATTCAATCACAACAAAATAACTAAAATAGTTATTCTAGGTTTTTTAATATGTAATTTCGTCCAAATTTGAATTTAAAATGTGCCTATGTATATTTAATATTTTTCAACTAATATTGTAACAATATATCAGGGGCCTGTATTAAATTTTACACTATTTGGCAAAACAGATAAAACTTTATTGATATTTTTAAAAAAACTAAAAAAATTTAAAACTGAAAATGTCCGTAAACAGCTCAAAAAGAGTCAAAATATTTTAAAAATTGTATGGTGTATAGGAAAATCTAATATAAGCATTCAGTGAAATTTTCATGTATCTACAGTTATTCGTTTTTAAATTCCAACAAAATAAAGAAATCGCTTCATGAGAAATCTAGTGAATATCCAGTGTTGTAAAAATTTTAATTTC